AGATTCCAGTCTTACAGAACCTGCCAATAAAATTCATCAACACAAATGAAATAGGAAAGATAAGCAGCATTTGCAACAGAAGTTTCTTGACCTAAAGTTCTGGGGTCAGCCAGGTAAAAAACAATTACTCTAACTTCAAATCATCATCATTTTGGCATTATTTTCCCATCCATAAAAGGAGGCATGGAAGATTTCATTGCAGAGAACGCTGCAAATTGATAGCTTTGTTCCAGTTCACTACAGTTTCTTATTGATTTTCTCTCGTTTTAGCCCGCATTGATTTGTTAATCCCTTCTCTGTAACAGTCCTAATGACAAATTGAGAATGAAAAACTGCATGCTTTAGGGCCTTTTCCACCAGCCTCTAGCTTCAAACCATATTTTCAATTGCACTTGGAGCATGTCCATGCACTTACCCTAGGTTAGATCTGATTCACCTTAAACTAGGCTGGGTGCATTTTACACTGAAACCTTTCTGTTCAGGCTTCTCATGGATGAACAAGGCAACCAAAATCACATCACTGAGGCAGAACTGGAGTTCTGTCACTTCCAAGGTTGCTGCTCTCAGAGACCGTCTTAAAACCAAGTACATTTTTAAATAATTTTACAGCATGGCCCACGGTTGATTAGCAAGCATTAATTGCATCTTGCATCTGAAGGGCATTACTGAGCATTGATGGCATTGGTTGGTGCACAGAAATCCTTCCAGGGAGCAGGATCACAAATTGTCTCTGAGCTCAGAGCTGCAGTCCTGGTGCATTGTTACTGCAACAATCCATGCAGAACGAGGGGACCCAGCCAGTATTTTTAATTTAAGGAATACAGTATGAGCATAAGGAGATCAGAGGGTTACAAGGCAACTTAGATTAGTAATTCTGCTACTAATAAGCTCATTAAATAGAGCTGCCAATTTGGTGCCATTGCTGGGGCCTCACTACCAAGAGCTGATGCCTGTCTGCACAAGCCATGGCTACTGCTGCAAGCAGTTTCAGTCTCTTTTCATTCCTCATACTTCCAGAGATCTCCAACTGAGGTACTCATTTGGAATTCTAACTGCAACACACCACCAAACTGGAAACGAATTTATGACTTCTGAAGATTCAGGCTTTCCCAGAGTCACATTTGTACCACCTCAGTCATCACATGCTGGGTGGGTCTCCACCTCCTGACTTGATCCCATGGCAGCTCTCCTACACCACCCCATCTGTCAGGAAATTCTCCTTTCCTGGTCTCCCAAACAGATTGCAGAGCAGCCTGGCCCTGGCTGCCACCTCACTGCTGCAGTACAACCCCAATTTTGGTCATTTTGAACCAACCATATCTGCAGCAGTGACACTTGCTCAGCCTCAGGTTTGCACCCACGCAGCATGTGAGAGGGAGTTCTCCTCTGCCTTTCCCTTGGTGTGACTTTGGTTTCCCATCTCCCTCTGTCAAATGCCAGCTGCAGGGAAATTGCTAGGGCTGGCAGGAAGGACAGTGCTGGGAACCAGTGTCACCTCCTCTTTGCTTTCCAAAAATTGCAGACCCAGAGCTGGTGAGCTAGGCTCTGCTGTAACACACTGCTATTCTTAACTTGCAGAAATGACTTTGCTAGGAATGTTAAATGTCTCTCTACCCAGGCCACAAGATACTCTGTGCAAACCACGCTCGTGCCTTAATGGGACAAGAAAAGCACAGAAAAAGGGGGAAGGCAAGGAGTGGCACTGGGGCTGCAGCAGTTTGGTACTGCTCTCAATCTCCTGCTTAGGAGAATGGCAGAGAGAACCAAACTAACCTAAGAAATAAATCAATCCTGTTTCCTCTTTGCCTGTGACATGACTGTAAACTCTCAGTGTTCTTGCAGTGCTGCCAAGATTGGTGTTACTCTCCTACACAGGGCATGCAGAGCACACAAACACACCCCATCAAACACAGACTGGCTGCATTTTGTATGCAGACTGTAGGTTCAATCTTCTGTTACATTCTGTTTGGGTTTTTCCCCCCAGTAATAATTTCAACAATTTGATCTCTTATTTTCATCCTTAACTGCAATTTGTCATTTGCACAGTGAGCTGTACTCAGAACCCCCTTCTCCATGGCCTTTATTTTCCTTTATTGTCACTTAAAATTAATTGATAAGCCAAGAACTCGATGCAAGAATATTAAAGGGACCATCTCTATATTAAAATTTTCATCATTGCATCTCTGAAACAGCATAACAAAATCAATCAAGGAAAATTCAACAATGCCATTTCTCAAAAGACACGGATCCAGACCAATTCACAAACGACACCAGTTCATAACAGGAAAAAAACACCAAACCAAAAAACTCACAACACACACCAAAGTATTACTTGCTTAGCAAGTGAGAAATTACACATCACTTCAACTCTTTTTGTGCATTTACCTCCTTCCCTAACACCCAAATTGGGTTTTTTAAGCAGCTTATTGGATCTGTTACTCCACACATATTCTCAAACTTTGAGCAGTAAAATCTGGTTTAGGAAAGTTCAACTTGTTTCTCTCCCACAAAAATAGAAACCTCTCATTCTGAACATTCAAAATAAAACCACTTACAGTAGTCAGTCAAACAAATAAGGAGCCACACACAGAGCATACAGATGGTATATAAAAGTAAGTTATTTCTTTTGATACCCCTTAAAGCCTCAACTATAGATTTACTTACAAAGAGGCCTCTAACAAATTTCCCTGATAAGTCAAAAACAATTGTCATATTTCTTAAAACCAAAAGGTTCCAGTTTCAATATTACTATGACTATGTGTTAAGGCAATAATGTGTATACATTAATCTATCAGTTGTATAAGCAATTAATTGAATCATACAGGGATTTTAGATTTGTCTTGTGGGCAGCTGCTTAATAGTTTGGGGAAAAGCAAGAAAAATAAGAATATGCTAAAACCAAATCTACCTTTCAGACACTTAAACAAAAACGACATCTAACTGCAACTGCAGTGAAAAGAACAGCAATAAACTTTGATTGCAAAGCACCATGAGAACGTGGGTATTTATCATGTATTTATCATGTATTTATCATGTCATTCCCTAAAAGAAAGGAACCATACAGAGGATCCAAAGCAATCTGTATTGCACAGGATGAACATGCACATTGGAACCAGGGACCACAGCAGGAGCAGGATAAACAACACAGCAGGCACATGTGCTCCCAAATCTATCAGCTGTTTTCATTCCCTGACACAACTGATCCCTGCATCCATCATCAAGATTCAAAGTGGAGTGATGGTTATTTTTTAATTTCCTAACTGAAATTTCAGAGATCCCTCCTCAGAAAACTGTGATCTAGCACAAAGGACATGATGAAAACATGGCTCCACGTGAAGCCATGCATTTCCAAAATAACAGCAGCCCTTCCTTCCAACCAGCTCAGCCAGAAACATTCAGCACTGCTCACACACTTCTCACTTGTTTATTGCTGCAGCAAATGTTTGCTGCAATGGGAATGACATGCTGAACATACCACAAACAGCAGAATGATAGCTATTAAAGCCAAAAATATCAAACAGACTGGAAAAGCATTTTGACAAGGAGGAAATACTAAACCAGATCTTTGTAACATTTGCTAAATACAGAGACTCATCATATTTCGGGCCATTTGTATTTAATTGTCCTTTCATCTGAAGAGCAGGGCATGAGTGTGATCAGATGAGTCAGATGCTCTGGAGAGGTCCCATCAAGGACACCCCACAACACAAGAGCAAAATTCCTCACAACAACTTCTCAGTGCCTTGGCCTATTCCATGGTGCTCAGGCACTGAAGCACAGAGAAGAAAACAGCAAACAGACCTGCAGTGGCAAAATGCAACAACTTTAAACACATTCAGCACCTCCACAGGAAGACACACTCAGGTTAGTGGCTAATTATCTAAAACTCAGGCTTTTGTTCCTCCTTTGCTTCAGTTTAAAGGAAAAAAAGTGCTCCTATTTCTCAAGGTCAATGTTTTCAGTTGAAGTCAAACTCACAATGGAATAGGTCACTCACAACACTTCAAAAATCAGGTTTTGAAGTGGCAGACACAGACATTATAACAGTGTCAGTTCAAAGAAAGGAGAATCCCTGGTCTTTGGTGGAGGAAGCACACAAGCCATGGGCAGGAGGTTAAATCTGCTCTGCTGTCCTTGAGCTAAACTCACGTGTCTTTTACACTGTCCTCTAATCCTTAGATTAGTTTCTCCACTTTGGCTTTAACAATATTAACTGAAGTGCAGAGGCAATCAGCAGACCACAGCTTTGCCAAAAATTCAGTTGAATCATTAAAAGTGATTTATAAAAATAGACCATGAATAAAAATCATCAGTCGCAATCCTCAACTGTTAAACTGTCTCTCTGCATTAAACACAAAAATTGGAATTGTTAATTCAAGGTAAACATGGAAAAGAATTCATCTTCTCTATATTCCTTTCAATTCAGCTCTCAAATCAAATCCTGTCTCCATATGACAACAAATGGAAAAGGGGGCAGCTCGTGTGTTCACAAAGAGCAGCTCACTCCACATAGCCTACATAATGCAATTTAATGCATTTTCAAGTAGAAATTCTAGCTTTGGCATTATTTTGTAATCTTGAAGTGAAACAATTTAGGTCCTTATTATCTGTTTTTCCTTTTTTCATCAACACAGCTCCTCCTAGGATGCAGATGATGCTCTTAAGTCATCTTTGTGCTGTTATCTCTGCAGAGAATGATGTCTGCTCCAGAACGCTGCCATTGCTAATCACTCAAATCAGGACTCACAGGTCTGCAAGAGGAACAGCACTGAGGGCAGCAGAATGAAGATGATTGTTGTTTCTCTTTCTTGTCAGGGAATCTGAATACATCCCTTCACTTACTAATTTACTACTCTTACTAATTTCTGAGCTTACAGGAAGGGCAAGCAAGGGCTTGTGCTGCAGCATTTGGAAGGGTTCTGTCAGGAAACTGATTATTTTAATGCACCAAAAAGGAAAATACAAAGGGAGGGTGTGGAAACAGTAAATTTTTTCTTTACCTGAGATGCTCCATTTAGGCAAGGAACCGAAGCAGGGGTGTTGCAGCAGAGCCCCAAGGCCTGGGCAGACTCTGGGCTCTGGTGCCCAGCGCGCCGTCCCAGCTGCCCCAAATCCTCTCTGCCCCAGGTGAGCACCGTGCCAGCCTCTGAACACAAACACACCACAGTTACTGACCCACCAAGCTCCTGAAACACGGGCACAAAAAACACAGCTTTTAATGCACCTCATCCACGGCTTCAAATGCCTGGTGAAAACTTATTTCTAGGAGCAGAAAAAAACAACATGAGAAACGAGCTCAAGTTATCATGAGATACTTCTGTGCAGCTGCTCATCCTTCATGGACTTGTTTTCTAGCACAGTAACATCTGGTGGCCTGGGCTGTAAATAAAACCACATCAGTAAAGCTGCATAACCTGGATATTCTGCATACAATAAATACACTATACAAACACAAAGGACACATTTTAGGTTAATGGAAGCACAAACAAAACAGCTTATTCTGACACATAAAAAATTATATAGAAAAGAGAATTATTTTCTATTCCTGTTCTTTGCCAAAGACAATTCATTGCATGATCTGCATTTAATAGAGTTTAATGTTTTCCTGTTAGAAGTTACATTCCATCAGCACTGTTAGCAGAGCTATAGTCCTCAGGAGACAGCTGTTAGTCAGGAACACCAGCACAACTGCTGCATTGGAAATGGCTTGGTTTGTTTTCAGAGAAATCACATGTTGGCCAAGGAAAGGTAACTTTAAATGAAATCAGCACTATATGGCTCACCCTTCTCTCCAAAGGTTATTATTCTGTGTGCACTGCTGCAGGACTGACACACAAAACACCAGTCCATAAACATCCTTCTTACCTCTGCTTTCCTTGATTTTAAAAAAAAAAAATACATCCTACAAAGTGAAAGCTTTATTTTCTTAAGGAAGTTACTAGGTCCCTGCAGATAATCCATGACAAGCTGTCCCTTCTGGGCTTCCAATTTAAAAAGTTATATACACACAGCATAAGGTAAAGTCCTCAACTTGGTTTTAACTGGAAGCATCAACCCACACTCGAGCCCAGAAAGAAACCTGCAGTGACCCTGAGTTAGGTACACACTAAGGTGAGGCCAAGCCTCAACCTGCTGTCTGCAGCTGAACTCAAATAATCACATTTCTAGGCCAAAGATGAGGATGTGGGGAAAACAGCACCCAGTGCACACACCCCCATCCCTGTCAGTGCAGGAACACCCCACACTGAACTGCCTGCAGGAGAATGGGACAACTGAGAGGCTCCTGAACAAACCCCTGGAGACCTGAACTCCCCCTTTTCCTCGGGGTGCTGTCTGGAAAGGGACACAGGTGGACCCTGCTGGTTTGTGGAGTTTAAGGTGAGGATGCATTTTGTAACTGAACTGGAGAGCTCAGTTCACACACAGCACAAGCACAGGTATTTCCCTTGGAAATCTGCTGGCAGTGGTATCTCTCACTCCAATCTCTCACTCCACTGATAATGCTTCCCCTAAAATAATTACGGGATAAAATTAGTTGTCCTTCTCTCTCAAGGGCACAAAGCTTTTTTCCTTTGCAGCTTCCTTTCAGTTTAGGGAAAAGCTGAAAACAGTCACATACTAGATTCAACACAAGTGAGGTCTTTTAACACACATTTTGTTAGGTTAAAGGTTAAAAATAAATTTCATTAAGAGAACTACTAGTGTATCTCAGATTAAGAAGACAGTTTGAGGTTTAAAAAACATGCTTGTTCTGAAGTTAGTGCATTTACTTTTCAATTTGCATAGATCTCTGCTAAAAATATCTGCAGCTGCAAAAACTTACATAGCAAACTTAAATACAGACAAAGCTTCAGGATTTACATCAGACCAGGTTACTGCACTTCTACAGAACCTTTTTAGTGGACTGGGAACAGATAGGCAGGCTGCTGTATTTATATTAACTACAGGAACTGAAACTGAGTTTTGTGAAATGTAAAGCCAGAAAGAATTTTTGTAACATCTAGTTACATCATTAATGTACCACAGGCTCTCAGGCCCTACCCAGGCATTGCTGGATTGATCCCAAGGACTGTAGCTGAATTAAAGCATTTCAGCTCTCAGAAGGCAAAAGTATCAAGTGCCACAGGCAAAAACATCAGCAAGCCTCTGAAAAGGCAAGGTGAGAATGGATAAACCAGAGCCAGATCCTCACTCAGTCTACAGCTCCATCCCCACCCACAGGCAACAAAGCTTTCTCTCCACTCAGCCTTTTGGGGGAAAAAACTCCTTTCTCGAAGGAGTCTGGTGCTCTGTCTGGACCCAGACATGAACAAGAAACACCAGCCACTCACATAACAAAAATGAACTTTTGCACCATCCCACCAGGGTACTGCTCCAGGGGAACTGAAGCCTGCAAGCACAGATGAAGGATTAAAACAGCAACAATGCTTAGCTACAACAAAATACCTGCCATCCACAGATTCTATTTTCTTTCAGTGGACAAGCCAGCAAAGAATCACTCTGCAAAACCAAACAGAACCCTCAGCAGAATGTAAACTATGTCCATAAAACATGAATGTAAAATGTTTCTGGTTACCAACACGGACCACTGCAATCAACTTTTGCTTTTTTACCACAATAAGGGAAAGGAGTTTCAGGTGGTTATTAGTACTCAAGCATGGAGAACATTCATGAAGAAAAGATTAAAGCCAGATAAATTAATTTTTGCTTTTAGGAAGAATTTCTTGAATGCCCAAAGATGAGTTAAGCAACCAGTTCATTCTCACTGCTCCTCAGTGCAGTTCTCAGCTCTTATTGAGACACATTCCTTCCACAGACTTGTTCCTTTTTGCTGAGCATTCCCCTGCCCATGCTCAGACTCCTGCTAATAGTCAATCATTTCTATTTTTCACCAGAAATCAACTGCCTAGGGATCCTTTAAAAAAAACCTCAAAATACATAAATCTGTCTTTTCTGTGAGAGAAACCAACAGAAGCTGATTTAGATGTGCCTTTTCTGTGAAATACTGATTATACTTTCAGCAAACAAATAAAAAAACCCCAGTCTCAAGTGGAAATTTCAGGCTGAGGCAAACACCAGTGCATGGAAAATTCCGCCAAAGGTTAAAGTCTTGTCAAAATCCTAAGGAAAAGAAAGCACTGAGCTATGACAGAAAGCATTGAGCAATTGTAATGGGAGGTATTGCTACTGTGCTGCTTATAAAATAGATGGTATTTTAAAATGTTCTAAGAATATTTGAGAAAAAGACATTAGTCATACAGAGTAAGGAGGCTGCAGGATGAATTACTTAAGAATGAAGGGTGATATAACAAGGAGTATTGGTCTAATATTAGACTAGGACAGATTTTAATTAGAAGTCAAGAAAACATACACAGTGATGAGTCAACTGGACAGAGTACATCAGCCATGGAAGTGGCTGAGACATCAGAAAATGTGATATTTCATACCAGACTGTGCAGGAAGAGGGCACACAGAAGGCAGGAGTGATTTCTACAACTTGTGTAGAAAAGCATACAATATTGGAGAGTTTCTCCAGTTCTTCTAAGACACCAGCAATGCTCCCTAGGAGCTGCATCGAGCCATGCTCTGAGCATGGAGGCTCCAATTCCTAAAGGCACTTCAACCCCTCTGCTCTCAACATCCACATTGTCCCACATGACTTTAACAAACTGCTCACTTTTTCACCAGGCAAATGCTACATCAAATCAAGTCCAGAGGGTTCAATAGCATTTAGAATTAGGGAGTAAGAGATATAAATTCATGCATCCTGTGTTATTCCAGTTTACAACCTGAATGAACCACACAGTACATGAGTTCAGAATACTGAAAAAAAAAAAAGACAAAGGAGAGAAGATTTTTAATGAAAACTTTCTGACAGCTCCTTAAGTAAACAGCACAAACAGCAGAATGCTATATTGTTTGAATTTCTACACGATCATGCAGATCTGGTTTGCTGTGCTCTTTGAACTGTAGACACAGCAGCAAATCACCACAACAACACATGCTAAGGTCCCTCACAGAATACAGATGAGGGCACTTACATATTCAAGGGCTTGCATACAAACCACTCTCTGAAAGGTCTCTCTGCATTTTCCTCACATCATCCTTCTGTCCTCATGTAGAACAAAGCACAGACAGTCGAGAATGTCCTCAAAATTACAAGTTCATGGCCTTCAGAGTACTGCAAATCTGGCAACATTGCATTAAGCACTTCTAGCTGCTTCCTGCCTGCCAGTGTAGCCTTTCCTGTGCTGTTTTACACAGCTACTGAGGCTGTAGAGCATTTCATTCTTCCCTTTTAGCATTTTTTAATCAATCTGCTCAGCCTCATAAGAGGAAAGAATTAGCAATAAAAAGTATAAGTACATTAGTTTTAAAAACAGGTTGGTTGTTTCTCAGTAAAACACAACAGACAAACAGGCACATTAAAATATACTCATTTCTCTAGACTCAGATTTCTCTTTATATCAATTTTCCTGTTTTAAGATAATGTCATGCACTAGTGTTACCTCCTTGAAGTCTCTATTTGGTACCCAGGCAAGCTTTGAACTATCCTTCATACATACTAGATGAAAGAGTTCATCTAGGCTATCTCAGTTCATGGCTGCATTAATGATTACTTTTCAAATGAACTCTGGATATTCACACTGAATGCTTAATCTCAGGCTTGAAATATTAAGTTCTATATAAAAAATTCCTAATGCCTCCTTTCACATGAAAATTCACAGAGGCAGGCATTAAAAATTGACATTCAGAGGCTGCCTCTTGCCTCCTCCCTGGCCCTATGCAGAACAGCACTTCTCATCTACAGACCTCTGCTGTCCCAGAAAATCACTGATGTCCTTGACCCATTCTGAGACACTTCCTCATCTACCTATAAACAGCCCTTGTGCAGGGCAACCTGACAGAAAAACATTCATCCCTACATCCTTAATTCCTTCCTGGCTGAAGACAGCTTTAAATCAGCAGCTGGAATCCAGGCATCACCACATCTGCAGCCTCACATCTGTACCTGTGCACGGTCTCAGTGCTAAGCAGAATTATGTGTCCTGAAAAAGGTTTATGATCCTTTTAACACAGGAGTTGAGCATACCAGAGCTGTCTTTTCACACATCTTCTTTCCATGACCTCCTTACAAACTGCTGC